CACGACACAACCACTGCCCCCGCCNAGCCACTCACACCCAAATCAGCAACCCCATCCATCGCCCACCGCATATACGCATAGCCACCACCACACACGACACAACCACTGCCCCCGTCGCCTCCATCCCTTTTGTATGTATGATTTCAAAGTGTTTGTTGGTTTGCTTCTGGGAAAAAAAAAATACAAGCTCAATTTGTAACTTTGACAGACATAGCCTATGAGTTTTCAATTCTGGGTGGTTTTAAGAATTGAGTTTTTGATTTTGCTATCAAGAAAATATGTGAATTTCCTTTTTAAAAAATTATTCTTCTGTCAGTGCCAACCCATCTGATGGATTCCAATAATTTTAGGGTATATGATGAAATGGGTTTTTGATCTAGCAGTAATTTGACATTCAATTGTTGGGTTATATGAGTTGTTCATACTTTTTATATTGATGGGTTCATTTCTGTTTTTGTATAAGTTTTTGGTAGATTGTCTATCATTGCTGCATTTGAGGCATATTACATAGTATTTTAGATTTTAATAATTAATAGTTATTTAAAGTTAGTTGAAGTAGTNTGATGGATTCCAGTAATTTTAGAGTATATGATGAATTGGATTTTTGATCTAGCAGTAACTTTTTTTGCTGACATTGCAATTCTATTTGTTTGTATTAAAGTCATTTAAATGGCTTTATGATTTTAAATTGGAAATTTGGTTGAACAAGTATGTTTTTTGGTATGGTTACTTTGCATGATATAAAGATAATGAAGATTAGGAAGTTTTTTTGATTCTTTTATACCTAATGTGCCTCTTTTGCAATAGTATTATCCTTACATATACAGAATAATTAGCATGATTTTTATTTAGCCTTTTCTTTTTATATGCAACTCCAATGGATTTTTTTTTCTGTACATTCAATCTTTTTGTGATCATTGTTAGGCACACACCTACCAGCATAATTGCATTTTTAATTATGCAACGATACAATTTTAATGCATNGCGTACATTCAATCTTTTTGTGATCATTGTTAGGGACACACCTACCAGCATAATTGCATTTTTAATTATGCAACGATACAATTTTAATGCATTTCAATGCAGTTCGGCATTTTAGGTTTGACTGTTGTAGTGCATGTGGTATTGGGAATCCAATTTGCACGATATTGCTTCAAGATTTTTTTTTTTGTTCATAATTGATGTATGGTAAGTTATGATTTGGTGTAATAGAGTGTTACTATGACAAAGTCAATATTTGGTTGCTAAGAAATTGAAAAAAATGATGATTTTGACATTCAATTGTTGGGTTGTATAAGTTGTTCATGCTTTTTATATTCATGGGTTCATTTCTGTTTTTGTATAAGTTTTTGGTAGATTGCTGCATTTGAGGCACTACCAATTGCTTATGTGGTTCAAGTAAGGACAAATGAACTCACTTTTGTCAATTAATATGAATTTAGGTTTGAAAACTATGTTCTTGATTACTAAAATCATGGTTGTGAGATGTATTTGTGTTTCAGTTGTCGATCTTTTCAATTTTTTGTTCTCTTTTTTGTTCTTGCATTGCAATGTGATACTTATATGTGGGTAGAATTAATTAGATAGAACAAGATAGAGTGGGGTGGAGAAAATTTTGATACTTACAATAGCATATGCAGACCTTTTACTTCAATGAACCATATTCATTGTTTTGTTTCTTTATGTTAATTACTCTTTGGGTCACAAACTAAGGTATTTGTGCAATTGTTGATGTTGTAATCAGATAAGCAATGTCAATGGATCCCCCTTTAGTTCAACTATATTATTTTGTCCTCATTCACTTAGCAACGTCACAATCAACTTCACGCCACTGTTCATTTCACCAGTCCTCATTCACTTGGGTTATTGCATTTTTTTTTGTTTTATATAGTGCCTTCAGGTACGGACAATCTCTAATATGACGTTAGATCAAGAATACGAGCCTTGAAATTATTAGGTGAGCTTGAGACTAAGCTCGATCTCCTGAAAGTTTGTCTTTCCCGAATGACGAAACAAGCGGTGGAAAAATGTCAGNATCTTTTTAGAGATATTCTCTTATTTTTTTTCTCTGTGGATTCAGAGTGTGTGTTATATACGCGTGGAATCTTAGTGTTCTTCATATCTCTTTGTTCCGTTGCATCAATCTAAATGTATGAGGTGTCATAACAATGGAAATAGATACCGATTACATCAATATTTGTAACTTAGGTATGGGTATTATTGATGGCATTCGATATTTGTTGTGAATAAGATGGGGTGGAAATAATAATTCTTTTTAAAACACATTAAGAGCTTAATGTGGTGTGGAATGAATTTTTCAGGAGTAGGCATAAGATTACCCTTATTATGTACTTGGTGATTCTTAAATTGTATATAATTCCCTTATTTATTATTTTTTTTATTATATTATGATATCACGAAATAATTATGATGTAATGATATTATTATATTTATATTAATGCTATTGAAATATAATTTAAAACTTTAATAATTGTGTCAATTGAATTATGGATACATCTCAACGATGTTGCAGTAACATTGTTCTTATATTTATAGCTCTTATATTTATAATGAGTATTTTCTAGTTTGGTGGGATGGGATGTACGGAAGAAAGGCCAACTTCCTCGTGGGTGAGAACATTAGAGGAATCTTCAGACATTGGCACCTCTTTCACGTGTTGTTTGACATAGGGATATCCAAAAAAATATTCATTTGACCTACAAAGTGGATATACTGAAATAACTACTCTACCCTTGGATTATCAAAAGGCACACACTCACCTTCCCCAATTATTGACTTCAATCTAGTGGTCCACAATGGCGTTTCATATTTGTTATTTGTTTCTTCAAAGTTGTGTGCCAACACGTTTTTCTTTGTTGTTTAAATACCACCAACATAGTGAATTTGAATTCCTAAATGTGTTGGGGAATATAAGATAATTATCTTATTGACAATTTATAATGGTATTGCAATCAAATTACGATATCGAATCTACGCGTAATAAAACTACTTATATATATATATATATTTTTTTTTTTTATTATCAAGCAAAATCTTTAATGCAAGAATTATTATTTTTAATTATCTCGACCGGGTATGAATAATCACTTCATATTTAAACTCGACCACCATTTTTTGCCAAAAAATTATAGCATAAATGATTAGTTATATTAAAAGAAGAGAGGAGTAAGAAACTCTTAATTTAACGCGAATAATAATAACTTTCAATATTGGTCATATGATATTTGAAAAATATTTTTTAAAAAATCATGACCTTTCTTTCTTTTTTTTTTGGTCAAGAAAACCATTATTTATCCAAAATCCTCGTGACACTCCATTTCATGTTGTTGGACCTTGGTTGTCTAGTAATATCATTACGGGGCTATTTTGTCTCCCTTGTAGGCCCTCATTACACTCCATTTATGTGGTAGGACCTTCGTTGTCTTGTAATATCTTATAGGGCTATTTTTGTCATTTGAGTTTGCTAGGATATTTCCGTTCCCTTCTCATTAATTTTTTTTCTTCAAGTTGTTAAACAAGCCCACCGAAAAAACAGAGAGAAGAGTTGGAAAACCTTCTGTTTATGTTATGCTGAGAAATTAGTGGCTTGATTAGAGGGTAAAATATAACTCATGAGGGAAAAAAATAGGGTCAATTTGGGACAAATATAACTTCTTACTCCAACTGCAGCCTATCATACTCTACCACGTCATAAAACTGTAAACTTTCCTTTATAATGCGCAGCACTGTATATTTCCTCGATATCTCCCTCGTCTTCGTCGCTTCTGCGGGCTTTCCCTATTAAGCCGCTAAGAATCCAACACTTTAAAATCTCGCTGTTCCTTCAAGTCAAATAGATACTCTCTCTCTCTCTCTCTCTCTCTCTCCCTTGAATTTTCCTCTGCATCACCATCTGATGTTCGAAATTTGTTATCCACTTTCCATAGCTAGGGATTCACGACTCTCCTTCGCCGTGGATCTCTCTCCAGCGGGGATCGTACTTATGTGAGGTCCTGAAACGCCTTTACAGCTCCGTTTCCTGCTCTTTTGAGGAATCAAGTACTTAATCGAAGCCGAATTCAAGTGAACGCAATTGAAGTACTTTCTCTAAAATTCGTTCGGTTCTAATTTTTGCTGAGTACAAAAAAAAAATGCAATCAGGTGAGAAATCGATTTCATTCTGTTATTTTTAATATTTTATCAGCTTGAATTTATCATTAGGACATTTTATACATCAATACATGTATGCATTATGTGACTACTTTTCTTTTCGTTTTTGCCGAGATGTCACCATTTGTTTATATTTCTGGAAGACCGAGTTAGATTCTATTGACGACAATTTGGACAGTGAATATTATTCACTTGCTGAACCAGGATTTAATCATGGTTGATTTTCTTTTGCTATATCTATCCGTATAGCTAATGTAAGAATAATATAAACAAAATTGTTGTGAAACTTAAACTGAGTATCTACGAAGTAAAAGTTGAATGACTAAACCAAGAACAAACGTATATAAAATATTAATTTTATAGATCTAGTCTAAAATTTCAAACTTTTGGATGCATAAAATAAAAATAAAGACATATTAATCTAGCACATCAATGGTATAAATAAATGACACCTTTTGGATATTTAATGCTTCTTTGTTTTATTCTACTCTGCATTGTCTCTATGAGGTGTAATTAAGATAGAAAGTGCTAATTTATGGGTTTTGACTCACAACTTCTGCCAAAGTAAATTGCTACGTTGTTAGTTTTCTGTCAGTATTCAGGGGAACACTTTGTGAATGTAGAAGTTTCTGATCAGAGTTGATCATTGCCGGTGTTTTTGTTGTTGATCATTTCATTATATTTGCAGTTAAAGTTTTGTTGTGATAGTTATAAAACCTGGCGTGCTTTAGTGTAAATCCTGCTCATGAGTTGCTCTTTCATGGAAATACAACAAGTTTGATCAGGGATGTTCCAAACCATGTAAACAAAGTTTTCGTAATGCAGCTGCAATGTTGTTCTATGTTTCAGGATATAACATTTCTGATCTGGTTGAAGAAGCCCAAAACCGGTGGCTGAAGCCTGCAGAGGTGCTCTTTATTTTACAAAAATATGAGGACCACCAGCTCGCACATGAGCCCCCTCAAAAGCCAGCTAGTAAGCTCCTTATTCGCTGTATCTTAGTGAGCATTTCATTCTATTATTTTTTAGGGCTAGTACATATCATTTATGATACTTCAAATGTCACTGAATGGATGCTGTAATAGGTGGATCATTATTTCTTTTTAACAAGAGGGTTCTTCGATTTTTTCGTAAAGACGGTCATAGTTGGCGCAGAAAGAAGGATGGGAGAACTGTTGGGGAAGCACATGAAAGACTGAAGGTTTGTTGATTGTTAGCACGTGTATCAGAATTCCTTCTATATATCTGTTGTCAGTATTATCAGGACTAAATATACTATGGCTCCCCCAAACATGTGCTCTGTCGTACTTTGGTCCCCTAATTACCAATTGTGTAACTTTAGTTCTTAAAGTTTAAAACTTATATTCAAAAGGCCCAGTGTTGATGATCATCTAAATTAATGACTGTATTGGTCACGTATAACACTTGTGAGGATATTTGAGGGGCATTTGGTGGAAACAATTAAAGGCCTACCAACGAAGACAGACCAAGGCCGAATGTTCTACCCCTGTCCCTTTCAAGTTAGACTGGTCTGTCCCGTCGACCTCTCTCTCTATTCAGAAGAAGAAGAAAAATTTTGACTGCATTTGTTGCTGCTGATCTGAGCGATTTTTTCAGTGAAATGGGTCCTTTTCATTGATGGCTTTGCAGGATAGAGGTTTCTAGTAAATGGAGATGCCTAAGATTTTTGCTAGCTGTCTACTGATTGGTCCATTGGGGTGTTATTGTTTTTGATACATGTTTCATTAGTAGAATGTTTACAGATTTAACATGGTCTTGATCTGGGGCTCTGATTATAATATTTTAGCCATTCTTGTTTCTAGCATTGGATTTGGAGAAACTGTGAGTTATGGATTTTGGCTCTGGTTGATTGATTGTAGTTTAGTCTCTGTTTTTTTTCAGTGAATTTTTTTTCTTGGTGCCTATAGAGAATTTGAGGACTTTGAGGGTTTACACCACAGATTCTTTTGTGGGTCTTCAAAATTTTTTCTAGCAAATTCTCCTCAGATACTCTTAACTTGTGTCTCAGTTCCCTATTCCGTTATCAATTTAGATAGTTGTCTACAATTGGACCTTTTGAATACAACTTTCAAACTTCAAGGACTAAAATGACACGCGTGGTGCTTGGGGACCAGTGTGTGAGTGCATGTATGATTGAGGATTGTTAGAGCATCTCCAATTGGCTCTCTATTCTCCCTAAACTCTTTATTTTAGAGCGTCAACCACCAAATCAAGCTCCAATAGGCTCTCCACATTTAGAGAGCCTAGCCCACTCTCTATTCTATTTTTAATGAATGAAAATATGAAAGATATGCATTCTTCATTAAATGCTCTTAATTGGAAGACTCTTTTTCTACTAGAATAGAGAGTACATTGGACTTGTCTATTTTTTAAATTAGAGAGTACTTTTGAAGATGCTCTAGGTGTATTTAAACCTTATACGAATGAATTCAAAATTCTCTAGACTACTTAATTTTGCAGGACTTTTTTCTTTTTTCTGTGCATTCTAATATGTACTTTGTTGCATCTCCATTCCCCCAGTTAATCTCTCAATCACATAAAGATATACTCTAAGAAAAATATTGACTTAATGGTATTATGCTGTCTGTGATCTTCATCTTTAGAGCTTAAGTTCTCTAACGCCTTGATGTTTGTGTTACACTCAAGTAGTTTGATCTCTGAGTAAATAAAGGATCACAATTTGTTTCAGCACATAGCTTCAGTCAGCGCAGAAATGAAAACGTTTAGGATATATTTCTACAACATAATGGAAATTGGAAAAAAAAGTTTGAAATTTGTTTCCGAAACTCTTTGAAATGTTTGTTGAAATATACTAAACCAACCCAAATCACCTCGAAACATTCGAAAGTGTTTCGAAGTGTAAGAATTTCGATGTTCAATTGCTAATTCATCTAGGTCGTTTTGATGGAAGGAAACGAAAAAAAACTTTGATCCTTGTGATCAATAATGATCATGCGGTACAATGTTTACTTTCTAATGGGGTATCATGGGCTTGGTTTACTATGTCAGTTTCAAGACAGACAAGGATTCAATTTTTCATGTTGATACTTCCTTTTCACCGAAAATGAAATAGAACAATAAAAAACAAAGAATAATGACACTAAATATTGAACTAGAGAACCAAAAGGCATTTCAGTTGAAAATACTTTATGTTTGCACGTCTAAGGCTTTCATATGTGGAAAGAGCAGTAACTTTTTGCTCTATATGATTTGCTACTGTCTGCAATGTACTGATGCAGTTAGGTGTATTTCCTCATATCACGGGGTTTTCTTTATATGATGCCTTCATCCTTAGGGAGGATTACAAGATACTTTTCTGTACGGGTAGGTTGGAAATGTTGAAGCTCTAAATTGCTATTATGCACATGGAGAACAGAATCCCAATTTTCAGAGACGGAGCTATTGGATGTTGGATCCGTGAGTTTACTTGCATATCTTGGCTGTTTTAAGTTTTTTTGGCTGTAATTTCTGCTTCTGGCTGCAACCATGGTTCATATAATATTAGTCAAAGGGGGTATGACACTTAATTCAGAGGAAAAATTTTTGGAAAACCCCAGTGCATTCTGATCTTAATTATAAATTCGCTAGACTTCATAGCCTTCAGGCATGGCATTAGTTATAAGTTTCCTTCTTCTTTGTTTTTCCATATTTAATCTCTTTTCTTTGTGGTCAGGGCGTATGAGCACATTGTTCTTGTCCATTACAGAGACATAAATGTGGTGAGTTTCTATGAACCTGATCCTAGATAACGCATGTCTCCTGACAACTGTACTTACTGAAATCTCTAACACAGCCATCTGTCAGATATCTTTTTGAGAAAGTCATCCTTATGTACATATCACTGGTTCTAACATTTTTATTTTATGTCTCATAATATGTGTTTTATTGTTCTGCTTAGTATTGTCTTACTTGTGATATTTTCTTAATTTTAATGCACTTTTACTTTTGCTGATACATTAAAAAAAATAAACTGCTTTTCCTGTTGCGATAGCCTGAGGGATCTATATTCCATACCAACTGCCTGTTCAGAACTTGCCCTATCTGCATACTGAAATTCTGTCTAAAGAAAATATGAGTTAATTGCATTGACTTAGATATTGTAGGACCAAAAGAACTAGTTTTTGTTAATCTGCCTGTAAAAAGATATGATTTATTTCTCATTTCCACTCTCCCTGCATTTGTTCAGCATACCATATGTTCTTCTTTGTAGTCCCCAGTTGATGAAATTTTGACATACGAGCTGGATTTATTTCTCTTTCCAAAGCAGTACTTGTAGTTCACAGAGTGGCTGTCTTAACTACCGTTTACTACAGTAGCTAATGGAGCATAACTTCGGCTTCAATTTGAAACCATGAGTTGCAGGGAAGGTACAATGCAGGATCCAGTTCCCAGTTGTCAGCAGGATCCTCTTCTTTGTGTCAGAGTCCCAGCTCTTTTACTAGTCAGCATCCAGGCAGCACTGCTGTTGTTAGTGAATATCCTGAACCATCTCAATATCTATCTAGTCCTGGAACTGTAGAAGTTAGTTCAGAATCAGTCATCACCAGCACTGCAAATTGCTTGGAGATAACGGAAAGAACAGGGGAGGTTGATAATAGTTCATCAGAACAGGAGCTTGACAAAGCTTTGCGAAAGCTAGAGGAGCAATTAAGTTTGAACAATGACAGCTTGAAAGAAATGGACCCATTCTACAGTGAGAATGAGAATTCAAATGATTCAGATTATGTAGGACAGGATCAATTTTACATTAGATCTGCTGGGATGCAAGATGACTCAATCAGTCCTGTGCCACAGCAGTATTCAGGTTTGTTTCCTTCATTGGCATCTTGTGGGTAAGTTATACCTGATTTCATCTATGCTGTGGTCTCATGGATTAAAGACCTGCAATTAGGCTTCCATTGCTTCCAAATTGTTTGAAAGTGATCCATACATCCATATGGTGGGGTAGGTTGAATTTTCCAAGGTTTTGGGTCAAATCAGGTGCCTGATACTATGCATTATACTTTGAACTTCACATTCTTTTTTTCTTTCCTGCTTCCTCTAGATGTCGAGCACTCATCATTTTAGGTTGCCATAGTTTGTTAACTAATGTCCTGACTTTGAGAAAGCACCATGTAGATCGGGCCCCAAATTTCTATTATATTTGATGTTTCTATTTCCTTCTTATCATCAAATATGAAAGAGCCGCTAATTGGGTTTCTTTTGGCAGATGACATCGCGGAACACAATCATCAGCCCTTGGGGGATGGATTTTCTGTTGAAACTAAAGAAACTTCAGGTTGGAAAGAGATGCTCGCTGGCTGTCTGAGTTCAACAGGTGTTGAATCACAAGTTATGCACGCATACACATCAGATGTAAAAGTAAGAAGAATATCTTTGGATCATTTGTCCCATGTTCACTTTGAAATATCCTTTTTCAGTGCATTTCTTCTATTATTATTTTTTTCTATTGTTATTATGTGATTACTACATCCAAACGCAAACACTCCAACCTCTGTATTTATTGACTAAATAATTCTTTTAATTCTTCTTGAAATATCTGGATTCGTGGGTTCTTCCACAGCAATTTTAGTGTTCCTTTGGTTATGGTAACATATCCAGACTTACAACAGGGATTGCTACTGCCGCCGCCAAGGAGGGAGCTGGAGAACCATCATTGGCTTACTTCTGGTATCCACAATGCTCGGAAGTGTAATGTTTTCTCAACTTCTGGAAATAATTCAAATCTGCCATTTTCAGGACCTTGTGAATTTCTAAAACTCTGACAAACTTATTATGTTATCAGCTTTTATGTTGCTGCCGCAAGATGTTGAAGGTTTCGAATTTCCTGCTTATTCTTCAGCAATAAATGCTTATGGAGCCAATCCCGACTACTATTCATCTTTATTTGACAAAGGTCAGATTGCAGGATCTCTCGAAGCCGACTCAAGTTTAACCATTGCGCCCAAGCAGAAATTTATGATTCGGGATGTATGTCCAGAATGGGGTTATGCCTCTGAGAGTACAAAAGTATGTTTCTTGACATTCCATCTTGTTACTCAATTTCTATTACTTGTGTTTGATCCTTTATATTAGTATCNCAAAAATCCTGTGTTGCCTCCTCCTACTCTTATCACTGGTCTCATGACTTCTGTCAAACTCAATGGGACTAATTATACTTTATGGTCACGATCTGTTCAAGTCTTTCTTCGAGGAAAAGGATTTAAGAAATATCTGGTGGGTTCTAAACCCAAGGAGGACACTCCGGGATATGATCAGTGGGAACAAGAGGATGCTCAGATTATTTCTTTATTGTTGAATAGCATAGAGCCCAATATTAGCTCCTCTCTGCTCTATCTTGATACTACCAAAGAGATATGGGATCACTTGGCCACTATGTATTCTGGTACAGGTGATTTTACCCGTGCGTATGAGGTGTGCAAGGAGTACTTCTGGTTGGAGCAGAATACTCTGAGCCTTGCGGATTATTACTCTCATGTTCAGGGAGTCTGTGAGAAGATGAAAACTTACCATCCGTTTACTACTGATGCAGCAGTTTGGCAAAAGCAACATGAGAACCTGAATGTTGTTCGTTTTTTGGTTGGATTGAAACCTGAATATGAGGCTATTCGTTCTCAGATTTTGGGTGGATCTAGTCTTCCATCACTGCTGGAGGTTTTCTCTCGTTTACAGCGTGCTACACTATCTATTACCTCAGTAATTGATCATGGTGTCTCCACTAATCGCTCAGCTCTTGTAGTTCCTAATAACCATAGTGATGATCATCGAGGTGGTCGTGGTGGTCGCGGAGGTCGTACAGGAGGTCGTACGGGTGGTCGTAATGGATCTCGTTCTTGTACTCACTGTCGCCGTGGAGGACACACTGTTGATTTCTGTTGGGATTTACATGGAAAACCCTTCTGGTACTGCTAATCAGGCTTGTTATCAGGATGACACCTCGATTGTTGCTTCCATACCTCGGTCAGCTCCACCAGACACTTGGTCAGTTACTATTACACTGGGTCGAGAGGAGTATGCTTAGTTCCTGTCCCAGCAACAAGCTGTTTCATCTCCCTCCACTGCTTCTTTTGCCCAGTCAGGTATTGCTTCCACATGTTTAATGTCCTCCACCCGCAGCCCTTGGATCATAGATTCTGGTGCCTCTGACCACATGACTGGTGCGTCTGACGTTTTCTCTACTTATCAGTCTGCTATTTCTGCATGTAGTGTTACTCTTGCTAATGGTACTTGTTCTAAAGTTTCAGGTCTGGGGACTACTCACTTGAGTCCTGATATGTCTCTATCTTCCGTGTTATTTGTTCCTCAGTTTCCTTTTAGTTTACTTTCCATTAGCAAGATTACTCGTTCTCTCAATTGTTCGATAATTTTTTATCCCTCTTATTGTGTCTTTCAGGATCTCAAGACGAAGAGGAAGATTGGTACGGGGCATGAAGCTGGTGGCCTATATTACCTTGACTTTGATTCATCTATCCGAGCTTTACAGACCTCTTTGTCTTCTTTTCAATGACATTGTCGTCTTGTGAAGCTTGTCAACTTAGTAAGCATCACCGTGTGTCATTTCAGTCTAGAGTCAATAATCGTGTGTCTAGTCCATTTGAATTAGTTCATTCTGATGTATGGGGTCCAATAAAGAATATTTCATCTAATAAATATCCTTATTTTGTGACATTTGTGGATGACTATTCTCGTGTGACTTGGTTATTTTTTATGAAAGCTCGGTCTGAATTATTCTCTATATTTGAGACTTTTCGTAAAGAAATAAAAACTCAGTTTGGTTGTCGTATACGTACTTTACGTTCCGATAATGCTCGTGAATATGAATCTGATCCTTTTTCAGCTTATCTTAGTAAAACTGACATTATTCATCAGACTTCTTATGCTTACACCTCTCCACAAAATGGTGTTGCTGAACGAAAGAACCGTCATTTGTTGGAAGTTACCCGTGCCTTGTTATTCCAGATGAATGTTCCTCGATATCATTGGAGTGATGTTGTTTTTACTTCTTGTCATCTTATTGACCGTATGCCCTCCTCTGTGTTAAATAGACAAAGTTCATACTCTATTTTGTTTCCTAGTAAGCTCTTATTTTTCCTTCCTTCTAAGGTTTTTGGTTGTGTCTGTTATGTTCACAATTTGGGTCCTGGATTTGACAAACTTGATCCTCGGGCTACCAAATGTGTTTTTCTTGGTTACTCTCGCACGCAGAAGGGGTATCGTTGCTACAGTCCTTCTCTGCACCGATATTTTACTAGTGTGGATGTCACATTTGAAGAATCTGTTCCATACTTTTCAGCACCCTCTCAGCCTTTGAATCTGGACTTTGGCTCCTCTTCTATACCACCATTAGATATTCTGCTGCCCACTGTGTTACCACCTACTTTACCTCTCGGTGTCTATTTTCGCCATCCTCACCCATTGACTGAAGTACCTATACCGTTTTCCTTGTCGCCTTCTGATCCAGGAACATTAGGTAATTTAGATTCTTTACCTATTGCTCTTCGCAAAGGTACTCGTTCGTGTTACTAATCATCCTATTTCTCATTTTGTTTCATATGATACCTTGTCACCTGTCTTCTCCTTTTTTACTTCTCAATTATCTGTTATATCTATTCCTAAGTATTTACAGGATGCATTATCTGATCCGGGTTGGAAGAAAGCTATGGAGGAGGAGGTGGATGCCTTACATCATAATGGAACTTGGGATCTCGTCCCTTTACCCTCTGGTAAACGAACTGTTGGATGTCGTTGGGTGTATGCTGTTAAATTTCATCCAAATGGTTCTGTAGAGCGTCTCAAAGCCCGACTTGTTGCAAAGGGCTTCACTCAGACTTATGGTGTTGATTATGAGGAGACTTTTTCTCCTGTTGCTAAAATTTTCTCTGTTCGTATCTTGATTTCTTTGGCTGCTAATCTTGACTGGCCCTTGTTTCAGTTAGATGTCAAGAATGCCTTCTTACATAGTGATTTGGTTGAAGAGGTCTACATGGAGCAGCCACCTGGTTTACTGCTCAGGGGGAGTCTGGTAAGAGTGTTTGTCGGTTAAAAAAATCTTTGTATGGTTCAAAGCAGTCACCGAGGGCATGGTTTGGTAAGTTTTCAGATGCAGTTTTAGAGTTTGGTCTTCTTCGATGTCAAACAGATCATTCTGTGTTTCATAGGCAGACAGATGCTGGGTATGTCCTATTGGTGGTCTATGTCGATGATATTGTGATTACTGAAAATGATTCTGAGGGGATTGCCAAGTTAAAATTATTTTTACAGGATCGATTTCATACTAAGGATTTGGAAAAACTTAGGTATTTCTTGGGTATTGAGGTGGCTCGATCTAAACAGGGTATTTGTTTATCTCAGAGAAAATATGTACTTGACATGCTCGAGGAAGCAGGTTTGCTGGGTGGTAAACCGATTGATGTCCCTATGGATCCGAATCAGAAATTATTGATGGATGATGGTGTATTATTTGAAAATCCGGGTCGGTATCGCAGATTGGTTGGGAAGCTTAATTATCTCACTATTACTCGACCGGATATTTCCTATGCAGTCAGTATAGTAAGTCAGTTCATGGGATGTCCTAGAGTACCACATTGGGAGGCAGTTACTCGTATTCTGCGATATCTCAAACGAGCTCCAGGACTTGGACTGTTATATCGAGCTAATGGACATCTTAGAGTGGAAGGTTTCTCAGATGCTGATTGGGCTGGATCTCCTTCTGATCGGAGATCAACCACTGGTTATTGTACTTTCCTAGGAGGTAATGTTGTCTCATGAAAAAGTAAGAAACAACCCGTGGTAGCAAGATCCAGTGCTGAGGCTGAGTATAGGGCAATGACATATACGATAAGTGAGTTGACTTGGCTACGACACTTCCTCCAGGAAATTGATTTTTCAGTTCAACTTCCTTTACAGTTGTTCTGTGACAACCAGGCAGCTATCCATATCGCTGTCAATCCTGTGTTTCATGAAAGAACTAAGCATATTGAGGTTGACTGTCACTTTATTGGGAACAAGATAGTAGTCGGGGAGATTACAACTCCTTTTGTGAAATCTAAAGATCAGCTTGCAGATATGTTTACCAAAGCATTGAGTCGTACGCGTCTTACAACTATTTGTTCCAAGTTTGGATTATATGATATATATAGTCCAACTTGAGGGGGAGTGTTAAGAATAATAGAGTAGTAGTATGTGTAAATTGTTAATAGTAAAAGGGATGTATGTGTTATTATTATTATTGTAAGTTAACTATAAATACAAGTTATGTATGAGAGTTAGGTTAAATTTTCTAACCTCTCTCTTTCTCCCTAATATTGCCTCTAATATTGTGATATATTAATTCTCTTAACTTAACACAGTTAAATGAACATGCTTTCTTTTCATGGTACTTATAATCATGTAGAAACCATTTCAATTGGTCAGATTATGATTCCTTGTGAAATAGTGCACTTATTCAAGTTCCTATGTTGGTGGGTGGAGTTCTGGTTTAGAAATGAGATGATCAAGGTCAAAATTGAAACAGGAGTTGTAGAATATTGAGTTGTGATAGTTAATTTAGTTAGTTGTGAGATATTAGAAAAGGAGACCTAGAAAGGATCATAACATTTGACTCTATAAAATTGGCTCAATGCTGGATCAGCCGAATCCGAAAGCTAAAGGTAACTGAATGGAATAGAGAGAACAGCCATATTTTTCTCTCGTAGATGCTACTACCTAGTTAGTTTCATGGTGCGAAAACCTCCACTTAAGTGCCTTGCCAAAAATTGCTTTGTGTTTTCCNGTTGAGAACACGCTATAAATAAATGTGCTTTATATATAAAATTAGGTGAGAACCATGCCATAAGGGAGCCATGCATTCCTTTATTCAATTTGTTGCATGTATTGCATTATGATACAAGGCAAATTCAATTTTCTACCTATTATTATGCATACTATGAGAAAAACTTGAAATTGGGTGACTTAATTGTAGTGCTCACCCCTTGGAATGACACTTTTTGTAAGAATCTTGTTGATCACAC